AGAGAGGGTGGGCGTCAGGGTCACAGCCTCCAGCACCCATGATATCTAACTAGGATTTAGTATCATGTTTTCTTTTCCCTGTACTATATTTACTTTAAACCTTTACCTGCTATTTATGATGAGGGGTCTTGGTTTCTCATTACGTAGTAATAGTGATATAAAGCCCCCTTTGAAAAATAAACTTAAAGGTGTGTATATTCAGGGCAACTTGATACTATGTGCCTGGGAAATAAAAAATACATACTGAAAAAAGGGAAAAAAAGAAACATAAATCGTTTAAAAGTAAGATTAGGCCAGGCTCAGTGGCTCACACCTGTAATCCCAGCACTTGGGGAGGCCCAGGAGTGTGGATCATTTGATGTCAGGAGTTCGAGACAGTCTGGTCAACATGGTGAAACCCGGTCTCTACTAAAAATAAAAAAATTAGGCCAGGCGCAGTGGCTCAAGCCTGTAATCCCAGCACTTTGGGAGGCCAAGGCAGGTGGATTACCTGACGTCAGGAGTTCGAGACAGTCTGGTCAACATGGTGAAACCCGGTCTCTACTAAAAATAAAAAAATTAGGCCAGGCGCAGTGGCTCAAGCCTGTAATCCCAGCACTTTGGGAGGCCAAGGCGGGCGGATCACAAGGTCAAGAGATCGAGACCATCCTGGTCAACACGGTGAAACCCTGTCTCCACTAAAAATACAAAAATCAGCTGGGCATGGTGGCGTGAACCTGTTGTCCCAGCTACTTGGGAGGCTGAGGCAGGAGAATTGCTTGAACCCGGGAGGCGGAGGTTGCAGTGAGCCAAGATTGCGCCACTGCACTCCAGCCTGGTGCCTGGCGACGGAGCAAGACTCTGTCTCAAAAAAAAAAAAAAAAAAATTAGCCAAGCATGGTAGCAGGTGCCTGTAGTCCCAGCTACTCAGGAGACTGAGGTAGGAGAATCACTTGAGCACAGAGGGCGGAGATTACAGTGAGCCAAGATCAAACCACTCTACTCTAGCCTGGGCGAAAGAGCAAGGCTCTGTCTCAAAAATAATGATAAATTAAAAAGTAAGTTTAAATAAACATATTAAGTAAATAATATTACAATTGGTATCACCTCTATCTAGGACAATTTAATAACATCAAAATGAAATGCACATACAAATACAGGCAAAGCTATTCTTTACTGCTAGATAATCTAATGGTGATCGCCCCCAAAGGTAAGAGATAGTGCCTAGAAGAGGGCTTGAGGAGGTATCTGGCTTCCACCCTCCATTCTTTTGGTTGACCTGGGGGCTCAGTGTACAGGTGTGTTCACTCTGTGAAAACTCATCAAGCTGCATATGCTCATGACAGGCATGTGTTTGCATGTATAGCATATATTCACATACCCCTTAACTCAACAATCCCACTTCCAGAAATTACTGCGCAGACATATACACCCATGCAAAATGACACATTCAGAGATATTCACTATGTCACTGTTCTCAGAAAAAAAAAAAAGGAAAAAGATTGGAAACAACCTAAGAGTTCCCCAGCTGGGGACTAATTAAATAAATCTGGCATAGCCTAGAGCGGAATCTATGCTGCCATCAAACAGAATGAGCTCTTGGCAGATGTCCATAATTTATGTGGATTTAAATTTAAGTGAAAGAAGGGCTATGTACATAGTTCTGTGTATAGTGTGCTACCTTATTTTACATATACATATGTTTGTGCCTAGGACATCCTTTGCCTAGGATAGCTCAGAAAAGAGTGACAGAAAACTGATAACAAAGAGCCCCTCTGCACTGGGCAGGCCAGGAGAGAGGGGTAGGAGGGGAGGCTTGTCATTGTCCATTACCCTTTTCTACTTCTAAATTTTGTACAAAGCCCATGCATGCATCTTCATCAATAGTCATTTTCTTGTTTTTTCTTTCTTTTTGAGGCCGAGTCTTGCAGTGGCAATGATCTCAGTTCACTGCAACCTCTGCCTCTGGGTTCAAGCAATTCTCATGCCTCAGTCTCCCAAGTAGTGCATCACCATGCCCAGCTAATTTTTGTAGTTTTAGTAGAGACGGGGTTTCACCGTGTTGGCCAGCCTGGTCTCAAACTCCTGATCTCAGGTGATCTGCCTGCTTCGGCCTCCCAAAGTGCCTGGATTACAGGTGTAAGTCACTGCACCCAGCCTCAACAGTAATTTTTAAAGTAAGCAAAAAGTCTTACAGAATGTACAAGGCTGTCATAAAACTTATGGCTCCTCCAGACCTAAAAACTGAGAGGTAAATTGTTAGCACTTTGGACTTATAAAGCAAGTAACTCTTCCCTCAACCCCAGAGACGGCACCAGATGTAATGGGCTTTCCTGTAAATGGTTTCCAAATAACAGTAAACCTGGTCCGGGACAAATTACTTACTCACACTGCGCCCTGCCCTGCAGTCAAACTCTGGCACCTAGAGCTGCCCTGGCAGAGTTGGCAGGTGGCAGAGTTCTTGGCATGGATGTGGAGACTTTAAGCAGAAATACTTCCAGGGATGAGAGCTATTTGGTAAGGCAAGCTCAGTTGGCAAAGGAGGGATTCCAACTTCTGAGAACCATCCTGCCCAAGAGAAGCAAGGCAAGGGCCATTGGGTGGATTGCTCTAGGGACTGCAAAGGACAGCAACAGAGCAAAGTCTTAAAAATTAGAGTTCGGTTTTGGCCAGGTGCAATGGCTTACGCCTGTAATCCCAGCACTTTGGGAGGCTGAGGTGGCGGATCACAAGTTCAAGAGATCGAGACCAGCCTGGCCAACATGGTGAAACCCTGTCTCTACTAAAAATACAAAAATTAGCTGGGCATGGGGGCGTGCGCTGTAGTCCCAGCTACTCGGGAGGCTCAGGCAGGAGAATCAGTTGAATCTGGAGGGCAGAGGTTGCAGGGAGCCAAGATCAAGCCACTGCACTCCAGCCTGGCGACATAGTGAGACTCCATCTCAAATTAAAAAAAAAAAAAAAAATAGAGTTCAGTTTTATTTAACTGCATGATATATGTTTGCACTGTACTTTTTTTCCTCATATGTCACTCTTTCCCCGTATCACTAATCCTAAAACAATTCAGTGAGGTGCAGGGCAGAGATTCACTTATTCATTTTACAGATGAGAAAATGGAAGTGTGAGGAGGTTGGGAGACTAGTTAGTGATTATACATCAGGGAAGGGGTGAAGCCAGAAATATAACTCCCACCTTCCCACCTCCCCACCCAACAACCTTAGGCTCTCCTCTTTCAACTCTGATCTACAGAGAGAAGAGCTCACAAGGCCAGATAATTCAGGCACAGAATTCCTGGGGACTTAAGGGATCTATAAGACCATCTAGGGCATCCGTTTTCAATACTGACTGCACACTAGAATTACCTTCATTCTAGTAGGTAATTTACTAGAATTAAGTTCAAGTAAATTCAAATAAATACCTATGCCAGGGCACAAGAATCTGTAGATTTTGATGCAACTGCTGAATTATAGCTCAAATCGCCCCCACTCCCATCCCACATATGACCTTCTGTCTCCCTGGAGCTCCCACCATCAGGTCCTTGCTCCATCCTCTGGCCCCCAAACACGCTGCTCATCTCTCTTCCACATTACCTAGAGTCAGAGAATTGAACTGGAAACTGGCCTCAAGCTAGTTTTCTAGGTGGAAAAGTCAGTGAACAGTTCTGAGGCCCACAACATGGAAGTGACTTGCCTAAGATATCCATAAGTCAGTAACAGAGCAGAATCTCTGTTACTGGCAAGGCCCCCACTCACAAAGGGGTCACAGAGAAGGCCAGTCCTGATGGCAAATCCAGCAGCTCCTGCTAGCAGAATAGACCCAGCAACATGGCTAAGGAGGACACCAGGGGAGAGTGTGTGTGTTTGGTAGGAGTGGGGTGTCAGTGAGCACCTGGGGTCCCTGGGCAAGTCTGCTCTCGTGGCATACTGGAGGCAGAGAGCTAATCTAGAGTGGCAGGGGTGGAGCCGGCCCATAGGAAGATATCCTCATCTCTAGACTAGGGCCCAGCCTAATTGAAATGCCCTTACAGAAACCCCAATCTCTTGGGGCTTGTTCTACCACAGGTGTCCAGATTCCCTGCCCACGATAGTAATAATGTCTCACACTTCTTGAGCTCTTCGCTAGGCACCGTACCCGGCCTATTTCATTGACTCTCCGCAAGCATCCTACAAGTTGAAAATAATTACAGTATCCATTTACAGACGAAGAAACCATGGCCGAGAGGGATGAAGTAACTTCCCCAAGATCACTCAGCTAGTGCTCACTTCAGAAGCACACAAACTAAAATTGGAACGATACAGAGATTAGCAATGTTTTAAATAGAAATTAAAATATAAAATAAAAGATCACACAGACCGACAGAATTCAAAGGTTGGTTCATGTCTAACCACTACCATCCTCCCCCCAACAAGGCAGAGGAGGAGGTGAAGCCCCAGCGGCAGCGGCAACAGTAACTGAGCACCTAGGAGTGCAGGAGACGTCGTCTGCTGGAATCCTCCAGGCCACGCAGGAGGCAGGCGCATCCTCCTTCCACGAAAGAGGAAACTAAGACGCTCAGGGGCATAAGCAAATAACTAGCGGAGACCAGACCCAGAATCCAGGTCTCCGAACCCCAACTGCAAAGCCTAACTACTTAAGTTTCACAGACGGATGCAGAGGCAAAGTCAGTCCTGCGGGGTAGGCGTGGTGGGCGCGCCCAGGGCGGTCACCAGGGCCTAGCCAGCCAGCCAGCGGACGCACAGCGGGCAAACAGCCCACCAGGTGCACACAGGTGAGCCAGGTGGCACTCGGTCGGTAGGCAACCGGCTCTAACACTGCCGACAGGGCGGCTGAAAATTCAGGCTGAGCTCGGGCCGCCAGAATCTTCCGGTTCCAGGGGAGAAAGACAAGAAGCCCGCGCGCGCTCCCCGGCGCCCTCCCTGGAGCGGCTAACTCTGGACCCAACCCCCGGCCAGTGAAGAGGCGGTCCGAATGTGAGACCCCACCCCCATCCCCCACCCACCAGCCCTACTGGGGTCACTCACCCAGAACACGGTGGAGTAAATGATAAGTGAGAACTTGAGCCAGAGGTAAGAGAAGTGCGCACAGTAGCGCACCTGCTCAGAGTTCCCGCGCGGCATCCTGGGCGCTCCCCGCACGGGTTACGGGGGCTCCGGGGCTCTGCGGCTTGGTTCGTCCGCCAGCGCCCGAGGCCCCACCTGCGGCTGCCGGGCTACCAGCCCCGCCACCGCCGTTCTCTCCAGGACTGACACTGGCGCGCGGCAATCACGGCCCCAGCCGGGGAGCCTGCCAGCACCGGCGGCCAATGGGATGCCACGGCGGCCCAGCCTCTAGCAGGGGGCGGGCTAGGGGCGGGGCTGCTGCCCTGGGCCCGAGAGAGGACCCAGGAGCGAAGGAGGGAAGAGGAGGGGAGGAGAGGGGAGGGGAGGAGAGGGGAGGGGATGACGGTCTTGCAAATGAACTCGCGTGCAACTCTGGAAACGCCTGTGCTAATGCAGGCGGGCGTGGGAGAGTGTGAACCAGAGGTGCCCTAGGGAAAGAGCGAGCGTGCCTAATCGGGGTACAAAGAAATGCAAGCTTTCCACTGTTGTCAAGAGGGAAAACTATGCGAAAAGGGGAGGAATTAACCGCCAAGGTGTTGAAAGTGCAAATGAGTGTGCAAATGTGAATGGAATAAGGAAGTGGAGTTGCTCGGCCTAAGGGAGGCGGAGTACCGCATCTTGGAAGGTGTGGCAGACCAGGGTGGGTCCAATAGGCCCCCAAGGAACTGGCGTCTGGAGTTTGCTTCTGTCACAGATCTGCTGAAGGCCTTCACCAAACGACTTTGGAAGTCCCCTTCTTTTGCCAGGTGATAACCCAGCCTTGAGAAGCGTTCCTCCCAGGAAACCCCATCTTCAAACTAGGTTGAAGGCCTTGTTCGGTGGCTCACGCCTGTAATCCCAGCACTTGGGTAAGCCAAGGCCAGGGAGTGGTTTGAGCCCTAGGAGTTCAAGACCAGCCTGGGCAACATGGCCAAACCCCGATTCTAAAAAAAAAAAAAAAAAAAAAAAGCCGGACGTGGTGGCTCATCTGTTGTCCCAGCTACTTGGTAGACTGAGGAGGAAGGATCACTTGAGTCGGGGAAGTCAAGGCTGCAATGAGCTGTGATTGTGCTACTGTACTCCAGCCTAAATAAGAGTGAGACTGTCTATTCAAAACAAAAGCAAAAACAAGGCCGGGTGCGGTGGCTGATGCCTGTAATACCAACACTTAGGGAGGCCAAGGCATGCACATCACTTGAAGTCAGGAGTTTGAGACTAGCCTGGCCAACATGGTGAAACCCCGTCTCTACTAAAAAATACAAAATACTTAGCCAGGCAGGGTGGCGCATGCCTTTAGACCCAGCTACTCAGGAGGCTGAAGCAGGAGAATCGCTTGAACCCAGGAGGCGGAGGTTGCAGTGAGCCAAGATCCTGTCACTGCACTCCAGCCTGGGCAACAGAGGGAGACTCCTCAAAAAACAAAAAAACAAACAAACAAATTAAAAAAAAAAACTACCGGTGAGGGAGGCAGCCAACAACTAACCCAGCCTCTTCCCTCCTGGCTTTTTCTCAGCCCGGGACCAGAAGTGACTGAGAGTCTGTCTCCCATGCTAAGTGGTCCTAGTTTTACTCACTGTTGTTTTCCTGTCTCCCAAGCCTAGCTCAGCCTGGGACTTGGGAGCCAGACAATCCCTGCTGTGGCCTTCTGTAACTAAATCCATGGCACAAGGTCATGAGCTCAAGCAGTGCTGGGTGGGGTCCCTGGTGGTGATTTCAGGAATGACACTCTTATACAAGTCCCCAGTCCTGGGTTCCCAGGGCTCCCGCATACACAAACTCAACAGAGAAGGGTAGACTCAGAGTGAGTCCAGGCTGGCTCTTGCACCCAGGGCTCTGCCCTAGGAGGAAGAAAGCAGTGTTGAGGGGTGGGGGTGAGGAGAGAGGCAATGCCATGCTTGGAAGGGTAAAAGGAAACTAGTTTCCTGGTACAAAACGAGCAAACCTTGGGAGGATGTTTGTGTAGGGTAGGGAAATAGAACCTGGGCCAGGCACATTTTTGGGAGGCCAAGGTGGGAGGATTGCTTGAGTCCAGGAGTTCCAGACTAGCCTGGGCAACTTAGCAAGACCTTGTCTCTGCTGAAAATCAAAAAACTTAGCCAGGCATAGAGGCCCGTGCCTGTAGTCCCATCCTCTTGAGTCCTTGAGGGGTATCGCTTCTTGAGCCCAAAAGATCGAGGCTGCAGTGAGCTAGGATTGTGCTATAGCACTCCAGCCTGGACAACAAAGCAAGACCCTGTCTCAAAAAAAA